AAACCCGTCTCCTACTAACTTCAGGGGCTGCCCCTGAATTCTAATATTCTGGGACTTAGTGAATAATAGTTTCCTGTTCACTTTGTCCACACCATTCATAATTTTATAGACCTCTATCCTATTCTCTCTCAGTCTTCTTTCCTAACTAAACAGTCCTAGCCTTTACAGTCTCTCCTGGTACACCAGCTGCTCCATACCCCTAATCATTTTCAGTGCCCTTCTCTGTACCTTTCTCCATTCTACTACATCTTTTTTGAGATGTGGAGACTAGAACTGTAGTCAAAAAGTGGGTGCACCATAGATACTGCCTAATAGCACATTAATGTTCTCCACTTTGTTTTTAAGTTCCTTTATTAATGATGCCCATATAGTTAGCAGTAAAAAACGGATTTTTATGACATGCTATACTGTATCACACTCAGAATTTTAAGGATGTAAATGACTTGTTTTAAAATTCTTATTAGTTTTTGTTTTCTTAGTTTATTAAACTATTTATGTGTAACTTCTGAATTACACGGAAAGTCAATAATGTAGTACAAAAATCACGTTTGCAAGGCAACATAATTTATACCTAAAGAATTATGAACAAAATTACCACATATCCAATAAACCTGAACAACAACATATTTTCATTAAATAAAATCAAGAATACATATCCAACTGTCTTAATATCAAACCAGTTGGTATACATCAGGCTTGTCCAACATGCGGCCCACAGGCCGCCATGCGGCCCCACCAAGCCATTTTCTGAGGCCTGAGGTCCCTCGCTCGGGACAGGCAGGTGGGGGAGAGGAGGGGAGCTGCTCACCCCTGCACGGCCAGGCTCACATAAACTCCCATGTCACGTGAGCTGGGTCCTGCCCCCACCCTGAGGGCTGCACGGCATGGGGCTGCCCTGGCCTTGCCTGACAGGATGAGCTGGGGACAGTGCCCGCTTTTACTTGCCTCTGGCTTGGCCCCTTGCCCCTGGCATCCCGCCCACCTCCCGGGACCCACTGGGCTCAGCAGCCGCAGGGCAGGCAGGAATGGGGCACAGTGCCCAGCACAAGCAGTCAGCAGGGCAGCCCCAGGGGGGCTTCGGCAGGCGGGGTCCTCGTATGACCTCTGCGGGGTGAGGCGGTGGGAGCCAGTGTCCACCGGTCCCAGCATTCCAGGCTCGCAGTGCTGAGGCCGCCAGGGCTGCGTGCGCAGGCGGCCGAGCACCATAGTGAGCGGGGCTGTGCGGGCAGGTGGGCAAGGGGCTGCAGTGCAGCGGCTGCCTTGCTCTGGCCCCCCTCAGCCAGCACCAGCTTGTGGGGCTGCGCTGCTCGGGGGCAGAGGAGGGACTGTTGCTCCCTGCGGCTGGGCTGGGCGCTGCTCTCCTGCCACGGCGGCTGCCTGCGCCCTCCAGAGGGCCATTTGCTTTCACCACAGGGAAGCACGGAGGAGCGGAGCAGCCAGTGTTCCCCCGAGGCCTTCCCCCGCCAGAAGCCACCCTGGGCAGAACAGGCTTGAGACCCTGCCAGGCTGAGAACCAGCTTTGCTCCTGCAGTTCCGCTGCCCCCCATCTCACACATTGGCTGGGCCCCAGCTGTGTCTGCCTGAGCACTGCCAAGACTTTGGGCAGCAGTGCTGCTGGTGTGGGCAAGGCCTGGGGAATCAGTGGCATAGGTGGCTCCTTGACCTGCGTGAGAGCACCGGCTACATCGGTTTGGTCACATATTTTAACACGGCTGTCAAATATCTTCTGGGGCTGCCTTCAAATGGTGGTAGTAGTAGGGAGAAGGGGGGGGCCCAGGTGTTGGGATGGCTGGTCCAGGACATCATTTGCTGTAGTTTGTCACTAGCTGAGCACAGGTGGGGTTTATGCCAGCTTTGCCTTATTTCAGGCTTTTCCAACACACAGCCCGCGGAGTGACAAAATAGGAATGTGGCTTGCTGGCCCACTGGGTGATAAGAAGTTGAGAATCCAGCCCCACATTCAAAAGGTTGGACATCCCTGGTATACATCCTATTGGTAATGCATTGCTTAATATTATAAGCCCTCAGTTTCAAGGCCACCAGAGTTCCCAAATATCATTACACAGGCTATGTACAGACAGGCAAAAAGCCCGAAGACAAACTGATTCAATCTGGCAGGTTAGTCTAAAATGAGTAGATTGAACCAATAAGCAAGTGAGCAGACATTCACTTTTGATTCTGGAAAAGCAGTTGTATGCCTGCAGTAACTTAGGCCAGAAACCAGGGGATGCTAGAGGACACCTCCCTGTTTGGCTGGAGCAGACAGCTTGGGCCAAAGCTAGCCCACCCACCTGGTGAGGAGGAGTTTGTGAGGGAGGTGCAAAGCATTGTGGGATGCTGAGGGACTACGAATTAACTTGAATCTGGAGGGGAACTGGGACAGAAGTTTGATAAATCTATTTAACGTAAAATCAGTTAAGTCTGATGCTACATCCATCAGGTTATCTTAAACTGGTTTCAGCCATTTTGAGAGCAGTTTATGTGCACTGAACTTCTGTTGAGTTACAAGGCGCAGATAGAAGAGCAGCTCCCCACTGTAACTCATAGCACTTCACAGGAAATACCATGAGTTACAATGATCCCCCAGACCCAACAGGCATTTGCTGTTGGGTCCCAGGGGTTAGGAGATCGAGCTGTTTAGAGTGGCTGTGAGTCTGCAGCTGCTGTCCCCTAACAATGCCCTCCTAGCCTGGGCACCATTTTCAGAATGGGAGGGGGAAAAGGGAAAGAAGGGACCTTATTCTGGGGGGTTGCCCAGCTAGCATTGGAGGGTGGGGCAGGTGGTTTGAAGCTCCCCTCACCTACAATCCACCCACCCCACCCTCCAGCGTTAGCTGAAGAAACCCCAGACCACAATCCCTATGCTCCCTTCTCCCCACTTCCATTCTGAAGACAGCCCTGGAAGCAAGGCTGAGCTGTCTCAGTTCAGCCCTGCTCTCAGTGCACAGACATAAGTTACTGAGGGTGCTCTATTTTGGAGCATCTTCATCTGAATCCTCATGCAATGAGGGCTCAGACTGCTGTGGAATTGGGCCCTTTGAAAGCACCTTTGAAAGTGTACTTGTGTTTGGTCACAGCTGTAGAGCACTTTCAGGGGCCAGATTGGGTGAAAGTTACCACTTCTGTCTGTGCCTACAGATTTAAACTGGTTTCCACTCACTTATATTGGTTTATGTGTAATTTCTACCCCTAGCCATAATGTTCTGTGAGTAACAGGCTGTGGGCCTCACTTCACATAGTGAGGGATACAACAAAACTGAAAATTCTATTATCTTAATCTTCTGTGACCTTCCAGATCTTAGCAAAGCTAAGACTGACTGGAACTTCAGCTGTATATTTTAGATCTTAAGCAATGAAGCACTGTTGCCAGATAATGAGTCAGATCCCTGGGTGAAGTGCAACCACATTCCACGGACACATTTCCACAGCAAAATCTACTCAGTCAGACTTGTGTAAGAAGTCTTTCATCTTCACAAAAGTGAGAATTGTGATAACTGGTTTCTGAGTCTAGCATGCCAAAGATTTTGCTGGCTCATGCAGTTTCCCACAGCATAAAAATGAAATACATAACTTTATTAGGCCTCTATTAATGCATTATAGTTACAACCATGAATATTTACATGATCTTAATTTTCATTTTTAGATATACACGGATCTGTATATACATTCTGACCACCCACAGTGGAATGAACATCATTTAAAAATATTATCTTAATTGCTATGAAGCCTACAAGCACACAGACACTGACTGGATTATCTTTCTACATTTCCCTTTGAGCGGGGAGTGTTACTTGTTTTATAGAGCATAATATGACAATAACAGAAACAATAGATCACATAATACAAGAGGAAAAAAAACTAATACTTGAATTCATCTCTTCCAGTGAACACATTTTTCCTCCTATTGCATCATGTGACCTAATTGTTCTGTTAATGTCAAATTTTCTGTTGTTAAAAGAAGACACTTACCTTGACTGAAATTGTATTTCCCTGTATTATATAAGCACATACTAGTTTTGCAATTCTGGAACGTTCATTTACTATGGTGTTTATGTTTTTAATGAGGATACTGACTACAAAAATAATAAGGTGCCCTTCACTAAAACAAGTATGACAGCCTTCTGTCAAGGCTCATGGCAAAGAAAACAGTAAGCAATTGTTATGTAACTGGAATGAAAAACTGATTACTTTCAGAGCACTTGCTTAAGTAAAGAAGAATTGCATTGCTTTAGACAACTATCACACAGCTAGTGAAAAATTCTAGTTCCCCACTTTCTCCTGCCATTTCTATAGCTGTCACTTTCCATCATCAATTTCAGAATACTAAAAAAGGCTGTTAAAATATATTGCTGAATCTATTACATTAAGGCTTGATACCATCACTTACTCTCAACCTCATCTCCCATACAATTCAGCCTGCTACAAACAGTCCCACTGTAACTGCCCCTCATTCCACCCACCCTGCCCCCTCCTTCACCCTTACCCCACTCCCCACCCCATGCTCCAAAACTGCACAGCTTCCCATGCACTTTTCCTTGCTTGGTGACAGGTTTATTTGTTGCAGTGAGCCCACTGCTTGGGGATGATTAAGTCTGGGGATGCCATTAACCCACACTTAACAACACATGGATTAATGGTGTCCCCAGGCTTAATCAGGGTAATAAAGCTGCAGTTTCAAACCATGTGGCAGTCTGCATGGACAGGCAGGACTGCCATGACACCTCAGCTGATCAGAGGTGTGGGGGGACCGTGACATGCTTAACCCACAAAACAGCAGCTGACCCCAGGATCTGCCTGTGAAATCAGGCTACTTGCCTCCTCAAATTTGGTAGACCCAAAGCTATGAATGTCTGAGAACAACAGGTCATAATGCCTTTTCAGCTTAAACCATAGCAGAACAAATGCATCAGTGATTATATATGGTATGTGTGTCTTTCCCTTGAACTTCTCTAGCTGATTTTTTTAAATCTTCACTTAAATGCCAAAATTAAAATCCATACCTTTCCTTGACATCATTCATAAGCTGCTGCAAGTCAACCTCTTGCTTTCTCAGATTTCCAAATGAAGATTGACTTTCTACTAAGCCTTTTCCGCCAGCACCCAATCTGATGTTTCCAAATGAGGCTTCAAGATTTCCTCTGACACAATCTTCAAACTTCCCCTCATATTTCACGAAGTCAGACTCCACAATTACTTGAAAAAATAAACAAACAATATTAATATAGACTTGAAAACATTGGATCATAAAACAGCAACAGGATTATATTGAAACCCCCCCCCCCAGAAATCTATGGGAAAAAATAAAGGGCTAAATAGTCACATAAGAGTTTACGGGCCATGATGATTTGTTCTATCTTTTCACCATATTTGATCTACTGGTTTTTCATTTCCCACTTTGTCATTTTTTTAAGATGTAGCAATTTAAGTTCTCAGTTCAAATCCTCGGAGACCTTTTTCCTTCCCCACAAGGAATTATTATGGAGCAAAAATTGCCTGTATTCAGATTTTTCCATATCTTGGTTTTTCTCCTTTCTATCCTGATCGAAAGCCCACTGACACCAACAGATATCTCATTGATTTAAACAGATTTTGACCCCAGGGACTATATAACAAAAATGTAACACACTGTGCGCAAATTCAGAACAAGGGACTGTTACCTACAAGGTTATGAGCTCAGATTGCTCTTAGGCCCACATTGCTGGTTGATGTTGAACAGTCAGCTGCCTATTTACTGGCCTCATCCACACTATCACCTTTCCCAATATGCAGCTAGCCATGGTGGAACTTGAGAGAAGAACAAGTAGGGAAACAAATACATAGAAGGAGCAGACGCTTTTTCCATGCTGAGCAATATAAAACATCTGGGCACTATCGACAGAAAGAATTCCACTGTTGCTACCACCAATGGAACTCTATTAATACATGAAAGCAATGACTAAATCTCTTGCTAGTTTCAATTCAGTCCAAAGGATCAAAACAGCTGGTAAAATGAACTCCCTCATGTACAACTGCAGCTGGACTTTGAGTCAGTTGATCAATATTGGCCTCTTTATGAACTTGCATTGTTGTTATTGTCAGAACTGTATCAATTTCCAGGGTTTGGAGGCCTCAAAAATACTGCCATATCTTCTGAAGAGTGTCCAGAGGTATGAAGAGATAAATCAAGGGTTAAGAGATAAGCAGCCAAACTAAACAAATAAGCACAGGCTGAGTTGTACCTGCCTGCCCAATTCCGCCCCCTCCCATTACTACTGCCAGGCCCCTCTGCAACAGGGTAAGTACCATAATCTATAAATTAGTTTTTGATATCGGGTGCCACTCAATTCACAAAAGTTATGGATGGGTGTTTCAAGTCCAAAAAAGTTGAGAACCACTGATTTATAAAAGGTGCAAATCTACTCTGTCTCCCAAACTGCGAATCACACAAACAAGTAATATATTCAATACATGCTTTGTAAAAGCTCAGACAGCCCTCAAAACCAGGTGTGTATAGCCCACAGCCCTCAAGCTGGATCTGGCCTGTGGAGCCTTTAGAGCTGTGGATTTGGCAGCATTCAGCTTCAGGGGGCCCTGCCCGCATCACAACACAGCGAGATGCTGTGAGCTTTGGTAGAGGAGCAGTTCTTTCTGCGCTACGTTGGGCTGCATGGGCTCCATTGGAGGGGGGCTCTCCACGTGCCATGCCACGTCGTGGTGGCAGGGAGAATGGCAGGCCATGTCCTAGTGCCTACCTATCTCCTACTCAAAACCAATCTGTTTGTCATTCCCTTAAAAGGTGAACAGTAGCCTGGAGCAAGAGCTATGGGACGCATGTTATAATATTTGTGGAGGGGCAAAGAGCAATAGCTATACAATTCACAGTGCATTCACCTGGAGTGCACTATGATTTCACAGTATAATCACGCGCTGGGACTCCTGACAGCTGCTCTAAATGAGATCTTCAGAATGTCAAGCCATAAAAGATATGGCTTAATAACACTGCCATTTGGAATCTCCAGTGTTCAATCACACTGCTCCCCCTGGAGAAGATGCGTCACCTTTTAACTAACGTTTCATTAGCACTATTTTTGCCAAGTGACAAAGCAAGTGTAGAAAGCCATGAAATTTTTTTAAAAGGTTGAATATTTTAAACCAAAAAGAGCCCTCAAATAACACAACAAAAGAAGTAATAGAACAGATTGTAGCTTGCATTCTTTTTATCTTCCATTATGCTTTATAAGTATAGTATTACCTGGTTTTATAGGTTTATCTTCTTCAAGTAGATCACTCAATGTGACTGTCAACAAATGATAGTTTGGTTTCTGCCAGCACCAGAATTTCTTCCTCTTTGTTACTAGGCTCAGAAGCTGCAATTTGTCTGAATCATTCAAACGGGATACAGGGATCAAATCACCCCCACAGTCAGTCTCTCGCACAAAATTCTTTGTTGCTTTTGCAAACATCTTGGGAAATCAAGTACCTGAAAGAACAAATTGTCTTTTAAAATAAAATAGGAAAGTATCATTAACATTTTCCTTTTTTTGGAGTTCACAGTTTTGGGGCATTAACCAAGGAATGATCAGTATAATAGCTCTATCTTCTTGTTCAAGTCTTTCTCTACCTAAATCAGTATTCTACTGCATTTACTCTAAGGTTTTTCTAAAAGGAAAACTGACATTATAAGGAAAATGCTGAAGATGACTGTAAATAGGGTGGTATTAAATGCATAGTATTAAAGAAGTTTAAGAAAATATTTTTTAATCTCCTTCATATTTTGTAATTTCAAAATGGAACATGATTTTTCTCAATTGGCAGTTTTCCTTTAAATCCCCCAGTAGCCACTGAAGTATTCAGGTAATGTCTTATCTGCCCATTTCTTTTCTTTGAAGCAGCACATACACTTATTCTTCATTAATTACCCGTCCTGCTCCACACACATATTAGATTTGTTAATTATAGATACAAACCAAGATAATGGAGGAGATACTTCAAAGTGAGAACAGATAATGAAGGGAGCTGAAGAGTGAGTATTGACTGAAAAGAGAAGGAAAAGAAAGACACTGAGGACACAGCACTCAGGCTTCGTTATCAATAGGGAGGAAGAAGAAAATATTTTTATAGATAGAAACCTGGCTTTCTGTTTGCTCTCCCTATACCACATTTCAGTTAAAACAGTGTTCACTGATTGATACTCAGGTATCTTCCCATGGAACTCGTGTGACTTACTGTCAATTCTCTATGTGAGCAAGGTTAGCAAAAGACCTACATAATGAAAAGTGTTTTGTCTTAATAGTGTTATAAAGGTAAAGTCACACAACATTTTATCTAAAAGGATCTCAGCACTTCTATAAATTGCCATGAACTCTGAGCATAATCCAATATACAATAGGAATATTTTGACTTCACCAATTGTTAAATTGGTTTCTTAGCTCTAAATTCTGATTCCTGAACTTTGCCTTGCAATCCAGTGAGAAAGAAGAAAAAGTCTGCATACAGGCAAATATAAGGCACATTTTAACAGCCAAATTGTCCCGGCTTCCATTTATATCTGAAAAGTTGAGTTTCTCATAGAATTTGGCAAAGATGACACTGGAACTACCTTGATGATTGCTCTGTAGTGGGAAAAAAATCTCACTCTGCTTCTGAAAGTGCAATAATCACCAAGAAACAGTCTTTTCTTTCAGCACATAGACACACTCTTCTTGGGTCTGCATTATTGTTTACCCATATGAACTCAGTCCTGCAATGGGATCTGTATGGGCAGACCTTTCCCTTTACAAGGAGGCCAGCTGTCTTCAAAGGTGCTGAGGAGGGCCCACAAGCCACATGGACTTAATTTCTGAAACTGAATCTACCAGAAAACAAAGTTACATTGGTTTACAGCATCCTCACCTGTTAGAAATTTTAGTCACTAAAATTCATTCACTGATCTTAGAAGAAAAACCTGTAACATTTTTCCATTAAAATTAGTTTTTTGCTGCATGATGCTTTTGGTCTTGTTTTCTCAGTCTAAATTTTAATCGTGTTGTTGTTAAAAGTGTAATTGTCTTCTTAAGCCTGGCTGTGAAGAAGCCAAATAATACTATGCATCTTTCACATGGATTTCCATTCATACAGAATTGAACATCTTGATTCATAATAGTGCCACTATGTGCTGCTTGCATTTCCTAAAAACACACAGTATGTAAAGGGGAATACAGCAGGAGGGAGGAGAAAACAATTAAGGAAGTACTCTAAAACCATTCAAATCTGTATATTGTGTGCAACACCAGCGATCACTGATCATACACAATCTTAGTGTGTATGCAAGCAGGGCCCCAAGTGTTAAGAAAACATTCTCTTTCAATTTCCTTGCTTTGGAGGTTTAAGTTAGAGTATGGCATAGCTTGGCAGAACTAGAGGGAGAACTGTTCCCCTTGTCAAAAGTGGAAGTAAAAGGGCATGGAGGAAGAATATTTTCCTTGCTTCATTAGCAACGTAAGCTAAACCTTTAAAGTGAGTTTCCATCAAGGATATGGGAAGTTGTATTTAAAAGTAACAGCACTAAAAGACAGACGAAAAACATAGTTTATCCATGGAAACCCTGTCATTATTTAGCTGAGTAACCACATCTCACTGAGCTTCAAAACAGCTGTATAAGTTTGTGGCAGTTCCACAAATTTTCTTTTTATTCTTTTTTCTGTTTTTAGAAATAGTACCCTGGTCACCCATTCAAGAACACTAACTCAACAGGAACACCTCACATGGAGTTAAAATCTGCTCACTCTAACAATTCTATTTTGGGACAGTGAAACAGGAACTTTTATACAGTTGCCCAATACAGTGCATGCAAAGCTGCATCATAAAATTATTTAAAAAACAAAACAAAAATAAAATTCTGTTTCGACTAAAGCAGAAGATTACCTGAAATGCTTGGCAGCACAGCCAGGGAGCATAGAGGGTGAGAACATTATTACCTATCAATTGCCTAAACATATTTTAAGTAAATGTTTTAAAGGGACATCCTTTGTGAGCCAAATGAGTCTGAACAGTAGCTTGGCAATCAAAAGAGCTGTTGGACATTAAATTTAGTCTGTAGCAGAGGAAACATATTTGAATTTTAATGGGGCTTGAGTTTATAATGAACTATACTGAGACACGCATAAAGAAAAGAAGTAATGCCAAGTAATACAGATACTTTACTAGGCTTTTAGAGCAAAATTTGAAACCCATTTCATTGCTTTTTGAGATAGCTTATGTGGATTTAAAAAAACGTAAGGTAATGCGTGAATGTTAGCAGCTACACACATGCAGTTAAATTTAAAAGAGCTACAATTTTATGTAGCTCTGAGTCTGGAAACGCATGCATGTCATTTAGTACTGAAAAGAAAATCGTTTCAAATCCTGATGAACCAAAACCGTTCCCTCATCCAAGGGCTTATCTACCCACAAATGGCTCATTAGAGCAGTAACTCCCATCCAAGGTGGATGAAGGTTACAGCAATACACAGAAAGGAAATCAAGCAGCACTGGTAGGAAGTATATATATAATTATTTTGATTTAAAAAAATAAATCACTGCCCTAACGGAGAGTCACACAGATACAAAACCTGTGTATGGGTCAGGCTGTAAGATATGAATGTCTACACACAGGGGCACATCCACAGGATGTGCAGTAGCATGGCTGCACTCCCCTTTCAGAATAAAAAAGCCCCCAGGGTGTTATCTAAAATTCTCAAAGCATGTAAGAATCCCCTGCCTTCCCTTCTGTGCTCAGAGGCAGGTCCCCTCCACTCCTCTCCTCTCCTCCTCCCCTTTCAACCCCCACCTTTTCCAACTGTCCCAGGGACCGTAGAAGCTGCAAAGCTGTTCCTACCTACTCCAGCCACATTATGTAGGGACAAGCTCAGCTAAGAACAGCAACAGCAGCAGAGGCAAGGGGCAGAGTGGTCCCCCCTTCCCGTGCCTGCTCCTGGGGGGGGGGGG